GTTTCCAAATTTCCACATTTTCCTCTTGTATGTACAAGTAGGTTTTGCGTACAATTAAATAAAGGATGCTATTACTATATGATGATGAAAGTAATAAAACAAGATTTTGGACATCTACAATCATCCACTAGTATTGATAAACATTCACATATAATGTAGACTTATGGTAAAGCCACTGCAGAGAATTACCTGTTGAGTTAGAGATGCTACCAGAAGCAAAAGTGGGCATGATGCGTCCCAAAAGTTAATGGCTCCATTATCATGTCCTGTTATGTACAAGTTCCTAGCTGTAGAAAATGAACTAAAGTTGGTTGAGTTTGAGTTATTCCCTTCCTTCTGCCTTCTCTCAAATGGGAAAAGTGGCAGACTATTTTTCGCCAGCACAATGAAGTCCTACATTACAATAACATGGAAAACCATTTATTGGTCAACAATGATCTGATCGTGTCAAAATATGATAGTCATCAGTGATCTCATGTCTACCTCATCTCCAGAGTATGGCATACATGGATTATTCGTTACAAGTTTGGATACCGTGATCCTTGAATCCGAAAATGGTAGTTTCACTATAACCTCCTTCGGGAGTGATGGTGATGATTTTGTTTGACTCTGTATCAGGTATCTTTCGATTAAACTATCTTCATACGCGTAGACATGACCAGACTTTCCAAGCAAAAGAAGAGAGTCATATCTGTGCTTGTTTTGTCCAATGGAGCTTGAAACAATCCCCATATCAACACACAATTCTGGAAGCTGAAGCCCTAACTTAATTGTGCGAGATTCCGTTTGTTCATTCAGTAGAACAACCTGCAACATCACATTGATATTTCAGACAATAAACATTGATCTAAACTTAAATAAGCCAAGAGCATGCCATAAATAACACATCAATTTTTTGTAATTATCTATGAAAATATGCAGAAAAGCTCGTTCGTTGAGATCACAAAATCTAATATAGAATCATGAGTTTCTTTAGGAGGTGTGCAACTAATCTAGAAGCATGTATCATGGTCAAAATCAACTTAATACCTGCAACAAGTTTGCAGAAAGATGGTCAGAGGAGCCTAAAACATATAGTCGACCTGATTTTCCATCTATATCAACCCATTTTAAAGTAGATATTGGGATTTTATCCGCTCTATATCCAAGATTCAATTTACAAACAGGAGCACTTTGACCACTGCATAGTTCATTTTTAAAGGCCCGTTCAGTCTTTGAATTTAAGGGACATGGAACACTCCAGATGAATATATCTCCATTGCTGTATCCAACAACTACTTTACTTCCAATAGGACAAGCCCAACATGCTGCTGTTACTTTCTTTGTCTCGTGAGATAGAGATTGCAATGTGGTACCACCAGCTGTGAAAATGGCTTTGCTTTCTTGAATTGCCCATAATGTAATAACACCATCAGAATAGATAATAAGAACCCTGGAAACATATAAAAAGAATTATCAGGTTGCTACCATTTGAAGACGATAGTTATAGCAAACTAAAATAATGGATTGGCCAAGGAGAGAGATTGATCAGATCTGAGCTTGATGTGATGCAATCGGCTGAAGAAGAGAGGAGCCATGGAAGGATAAATTGTAAGACTTACAGTCGGGAAGCTCAAAAGCCAGGTCTTGATAAAAACTTTCTTTTGTTGGAAAGAGATCTACTTCAAAAACTCTCCTTTTTAATTTAGCATGTTGCCATAGGTATAACTCTAAAGGGATTATAATGTGA